GACAACATCCTGGTGATAAAATTTTACCTTGGTATAAGTTAGTATTTAATATAATTATCAATATAAAAAAAGAAATGAATTTATTACTTTATAGAGGAGCAACATTTATTGAATATTTATATAGTTTACCTTGATTTAATCGAAATTATTGATGGTCCTCTACGAATGCCTATTGTTGAAAGATATAAAGTTTGTTTCAACAATTCTAGAAAAATAATCTAAACTATATATTTAATTATATATAGGAAATGGGTAAAATTGAATCTGGATGTTGTCGTATTGGTGATCGATGTTTAATTATGCCAAATCGAACTCGTGTTGAAATAACAAATATTTATTATGAAGATATTGAAACAGATTCATGTGTATGTGGAGAAAATGTTCGATTGAAACTGAAAAATGTTGAAGAAGAAGTTTGTTTTATTCTTTATCATATATATATATTGTTTAGTGACAAAAAAAATTTGAATCTTATAGGAAATATCTTCTGGATTTGTTTTATGTGATATTGAACAAGAAGCATGTGGTGTTGGAAGAGTATTTAATGCATAAGTGAGTAAAAAAATTAATAAATTTTTTATGTTTTGAAAAAGGCATATGACATCAAAAGAAATTCTCTTATTTAATTAGAAGATAAATATTAACTGAATATTATGATAGATGACATAAATTCACTGAAGATGTGCGCTCAGTCTCAGTAATCATGACCGAGATTATGAGAAAAAAAGAAGTTATTGAGATCTGAACAAAGTTGTGCCAACTGGAACTAAAGATCATAGTTCAATACTCTATGGTTTTGGAAGAATTTTCTCAAAATTTCTATAAATTAGAACATAATTCCAAGGAGATGACCCAAAAAAGTGCTAATCATAGAGTAAATAAATGAAAAAAACAAACGAATATTAAAGAATTTGTTTTTTGATGTAATACGAATAAATTATGGGATAGTTTTCTCTAGATCTGAATTAAGACTAGATTAAATTTACCGAAATCATAGGCGGAATCACTAGAAAAACAATTACCGAGATCGGAACCAAAAAATCTTGATTTCTCATGTCTCGAACGAGGAAAGATTCTCAAATGTAACGCGCCGTTTTTAATTGAATCTATACCAGTTAGTAGAAATCGGTGAGAGTAGATTAAGTCTAACAGAGTTTTGTCCCCATACATTGCTTTTAAGCTTCATATATTCTCATTGACCTCTACTAACCAATTGAAAGCAACAAGTCACACGTTGGAGACTTTCCCTTGTATAAGTCTGACCCCACCTAACTCGAAATGAAAAAAAATCTTTATTTATAAAGATGCTCGGATTGATGTCTAATCTATAGTAGATAAGTTGAAGTGATCTGTTCGTACTAACGAAAATTGATCGAGATTTGTTCAAAAACTAGATAAAAATAATTTATTCATTGCTTCAACACAATGTTGTCAAGTCCTATGATTTTATAATACGTTTTATTTTCTATTAAAAAGAAAGTCAATAAGAGAGTTTCATGATCTATTGTGTTTTAAGATAAGATCGGGATTGCTTACATCATTTTATTCTTATCCTAACTGAGCAGTAGTGTTTTATTTCGAATACGAATCAAATAATTGATAATTATTGCAAATGTTTGCTTGAGATGTTGAATAGTAAATACTATACTAATTCAACGACGACAATTATTTTCAATCATTTCAAAAAATTATTAAAAATATTTTATGAATAATTTATACATTGTTTGAATCATCAACAATGTCCAATATTTATAGAAAATATGATATATAGAGTGAGAGTGTTCTAAACAAAGTAGTATCGTTTTCACTAGAAAGTCAAAAATCTATTTTTACTAGAAAAATATTTCTGTATCAATTATTTTTTTTAATTTATAAAATAGGTTTTGCTATAATTGAACATAAATCAATAATATGTCCCTGGTTATTCTGCTGTTTTTCATATTCATGCAGCAGCTGTTGAAGTTCAATTAAAAAAATTAATAACTTTAATTGACCGTAAAACAGGTGAACGAACACAAGAACATCGACGTTTTATTAAACACAATCAAGTTGCAATTGCAAGATTTGAATTAACTCAATCAGATGAAACAATATCTATGGAACCATTTAAACGTTTTCCTCAACTTTCTCACTTCATGTTACGTGATGAAGTGATGGTCGAACCGTTGTTATTGGTAAAGTTCTTAAAATAGTCGAGTAAAAACTTTTCTTTGTTTGTTGTTATTTCATATTAATTCTCTTTGAAAAAAAAAAAACATACACACAATCTATGGATAAAACATTTGTTATGCATCTAATTTAAAGAAGAACATTAAAATAAAATGAAAAAAAAATCATTTGTCTTTTTCGTTTGGAGATTTTATTTTTCTCTCTCTCTCTCTTTCTGATGTTATTTTCACGTT